ACCCTAGTTTATGCGTTGCTTCGTAAGGGGCTGATTTGGATCCACATGTTTCATGCTATGGTTAGGTTTACCTTAATACTTTTGTTGTAGTTGCAGCTGCTTGCAATAGAGGTTAATCATAAGTGGGATGCTTGTCCAAGTAAGGATAGCACCCAAGCACCGGTCCACCCACATACCAAATTATCAAAGTACCGAACGCGAATCATATGAACGTGATGAAAACTAGCTTGACGATATTCCCATGTGTCCTCGGGAGCGCTTTACATCATATAAGAGCTTGTCCAGGCTTGTCCTTTGCTACAAAAAGGATTGGGCCACCTTGCTACACTTTATTTACTTTTTTTACTTATTGCTCGTTATCAATTATCTTATCACAAAACTATCTGTTACCTATAATGTCAGTGCTTGCAGAGAATACCTTGCTGAAAACCGCTTATCATTTCCTTCTGCTCCTCGTTGGGTTCGACACTCTTACTTATCGAAAGGACTACGATAGATCCCCTATACTTGTGGTCATCAAGACTCTTTTCTGGTGACGTTGCCGCGGAGTGAAGCGCCTTTGGTAGGTGGAATTTAGTAAGGAAAAATTTATATAGTGTGCTGAAATTTACTGTCACTTGTTACTATGGAAAGCAATCCTCTGAGGGGCTTGTTCGGGGTATCTTCACCTCGACCAGTAGAGCATAGAGTTGCTCCTCAACCTACGGAAAATGAAAATGTCTGCTTTGAAATTCCTTCGGGTATGTTAGAAAAACTGCTAGCTAATCCTTTTGCAGGAGATGGAACAAAGCATCCTGATGAGCACCTAATATATGTGGATGAAGTTTGTGGATTATTTAAGCTTGCAGGTGTGCCCGAAGATGTTATTAATAAGAAGGTCTTCCCTTTATCTTTGAAGAGAGATGCATTGACATGGTATAGGCTATGTGATGATACGGGGTCATGGAACTACAAACGATTGAAATTGGAATTTCATCAAAAGTTTTATCCTATGCATCTTGTTCATCGTGATCGCAATTATATATATAATTTCTGGCCTAGCGAAGGAGAAAGCATCACTCAAGCTTGGGGGAGGCTTAAATCAATGTTATATTCATGCCCCAATCATGAGCTCTCAAGAGAAATGGTTATTCAAAATTTTTATGCTCGGCTTTCTAATAACAATCGCACCATTCTCGATACTTCTTGTGCTGGCTATTTTATGACGAAGACTATTGAATTCAAATGGGATTTATTGGAAAGAATTAAACGCAACTCTGAAGATTGGGACCTCGACGAAGGTAAGGAGTCAGATTTGACACCTAAGTATGATTGTGTTAAATCTTTTATGGATACCGATGTTTTCCGTAAATTTAGCACTAAATATGGACTTGACTCTGAGATAGTAGCCTCTTTCTGTGAATCTTTTGCTGCTCATATCGATCTCCCTAAGGAGAAGTCGTTTAAATATCATCCTCCCATAGAAGTAAAAGTAGCTGCACCTATTAAAGTTGAAGAAAAGACTATCACTTATAATGATCCTATTGTTCCTACTTCTTATGTTGAGAAACCATTTTTCCTTGTTAGTATAAAGGATCATGCTAAAGCTTCAACTGTGGTTCATAAAAGCAATATTATGACTTATACACCTCCTGAGCAAATTAAAGTTGAACCAAATATTATTATTGTTAAAGATCTCTTGGCTGATAATATTGATGGGCATGTTATTCATTTCTGTAATGAAACCGCTAGAATTGCCAAACCTTGTGCTAATGATAAACATAGACCTGTGGTAGGCATGCCTGTTATTTCTGTTAAAATAGGAGAACATTGCTATCATGGCTTATGTGATATGGGTGCTAGTGCTAGTGCAATACCTTTTGACTTATACAAAGAAATTATGCATGACATTGCACCCGCTAAGTTAGAAGATATTGATGCCACAATTAAACTTGCCAATAGAGATACTATTTCACCAATGGGAATTGTTAGAGATGTTGAAGTCTTGTGTGGGAAAACTAAATATCCTGCTGATTTTCTTGTTCTTGGCTCCCCACAAGATAGCTTTTGTCCCATAATTTTCGGTAGACCCTTCTTGAACACTGTTAATGCTAAGATAGACTGCGAAAAGGATGTTGTTACTATTGGTTTGGGTGATATGACTCATGAGTACAACTTTTCTAAATTTTGTAGACAACACCGTGAAGAGGAATTGCCTAGTAAAGATGAAATTATTGGTCTTGCTTCTATTGCCGTACCTCCTAGTGATCCTTTACAACAATATTTGCTAGACCATGAAAATGATATGTTTATGAATGAAAGAAGGGAAATAGATGAAGTATTATTTAAACAGGAACCCATCCTGAAACACAATTTGCCTGTTGAAATCCTAGGGGATCCTCCTCCACCCAAGGGTGATCCCGTGTTTGAGCTTAAACCATTACCTGCTACTCTTAAATATGCTTATCTTGATGAAAAGAAGATATATCCTGTTATTATTAGTGCTAACCTTTCAGAGCATGAAGAAGAGAGATTATTGAAAACTCTGAGGAAGCACTGTGCTGCTATTGGATATACTCTTGATGATCTTAAGGGCATTAGTCCCACTCTATGTCAACATAAAATAAATTTGGAGAAAGATGCCAAACCAGTTTGTGATCACCAACGACGGCCGAATCCTAAGACGAAAGAAGTGGTAAGAAAAGAAATATTAAAGCTTCTAGAGGCAGGTATTATTTATCCCGCTGCTGATAGTCAGTGGGTAAGTCATGTCCATTGTGTCCCTAAGAAGGGAGGTATTACTGTCATTCCTAATGATAAAGATGAATTGATTCCGCAAAGAATTATTACAGGATATAGGATGGTAATTGATTTCTGTAAATTAAATAAGGCTACTAAAAAGATCATTACCCTTTACCTTTTATTGATCAAATGCTAGAAATATTATCCAAACATACACATTTTTGCTTTCTATATGGTTATTCTGGTTTCTCTCAAATACCTGTGTCAGCTGATGATCAATCTAAGACCACTTTTACTTGCCCGTTCGGTACTTTTGCTTATAGACTTATGCCTTTTGGTTTATGTAATGCACCTGCTACTTTCCAAAGATGCATGATGGCTATATTCTCTGACTTTTTTGAAAAGATTTGTGAGGTTTTCATGGATGATTTCTCCGTCTATGGATCCTCTTTTGATGATTGCTTGAGCAACCTTGATCGAGTTTTGCAGAGATGTGAAGAAACTAATCTTGTCTTGAATTGGGAAAAGTGCCACTTCATGGTTAATGAAGGTATTGTCTTGGGGCATAAAGTTTCTGAAAGAGGTATTGAAGTTGATAAAGCCAAGGTTGATGCTATTGGAAAGATGCCATGTCCCAAGGACATCAAAGGTATAAGAAGTTCCCTTGGTCATGCCGGTTTTTATAGGAGGTTCATTAAGGACTTCTCAAAAATTTCTCGGCCTCTGACTAATTTATTACAAAAAGATATACCATTTGTCTTTGATGATGATTGTGTAGAAGCATTTGAAATACTTAAGAAAGCATTAATCTCTGCACCGATTGTTCAGCCACCTGATTGGAATTTACCCTTTGAAATTATGTGTGATGCTAGTGATTATGCTGTAGGTGCTATTCTAGGGCAAAGAGTTGATTAGAAATTAAATGTTACTCAATATGCTAGTAAAACTATAGACAATGCTCAGAGAAATTATGCTACTACTGAAAAGGAATTCTTAGCAGTTGTATTTGCTTGTGATAAGTTTAGACCATATATTGTTGATTCTAAAGTAGCTATTCACACGGATCATGCTGCTATTAAATACCTTATGGAAAAGAAAGATGTTAAACCTAGACTTATTAGATGGGTTCTCCTGCTATAAGAATTTGATTTGCATATTATTGATAGAAAGGGAGCTGAGAACTCCGTTGCAGACAACTTGTCTAGGTTAGAAAATGTGCTTGATGACCCACTACCTATCATGGTTTTATTTTTACTAAATCGTTACTCATAAATCATTATATTTTTTTGAAACTGTGAATATTTTTTAAAAACTCACGAACATTTTTTTTTGAAATCATAAACAATATTTTTTTAGAAATTTGTGAACATTCTCTTAAGTCATGATTTTTTTTGAAATAATGAACATTTTAAAATTAAAGACTACTTTTTGAAAATCATGAACATTTTTTTAAATTCATGAATATCTTTAGAATTAGCGAACATTTTTTGAATCGTGAACATTTTTCCAAATCTGTGAACATTTTTTTGAATCGTGAACATGTTTTCCAAATTCGTGAACATTTTTCGAATCAGCAAACTTTTTTTGAATTTTTTAAATTATTAACATTTTTTAAGTTTGTGAACATTTTTTTACAAATTCGTGAACATTTTTTGAATTCTAGAGCATTTTTCTGTAATCACGATTTACTTATTTTGTGAACATTTTTCAATTTCACGAACATTTTTTTGAAATCATGAACATTGTTTTAAATTTGTGAACATTTTTTGCCAAATTCATGAACAATCTTTGAATTACCGAGCATCTTTTTGGAAATCATGATTTTTTTTAAATCATGATTGTTTTATTCAAAATTAGCAACTTTCCTGAAATTTAGACCTTTTGCTATCCGAAATTATTGGAAAAAATAAGAAAAAGGAAACATCCGCAAAAAAACAAGCGGTCTCCCGGCCACACATGGGCCGACCCAGAAGGGGAGCAAGGGGTGCGCGCCCGCTTCCTTCGCAGCGCGTGCTGCGCCCTATAGGCGCTCCCTTCCTTTCAAGGGAGCTTGGTGTTTTAGGATAGTTAAAACCGTACCCTTTTTTTGTTGGCAACCATCTCAAATCACCTCATTCATTAGAATATCGTTTTCAGATATGTAATAAGAATACAATGTATTAGGCTGGTGATTGGCTGATTACGTGATGTGTTTGGTTCGACGAAGGGTTGGTTTCCCAAACTAGAGCGTTAGAAAAGAAGTGAGGAAGAAGTGAGGAGAAGGGAGAGGCCCGGCCGGCATGCCTGCTTGCGACGAAGAAGGGGGCAGTACGGCAAGCATGGCTGCTCGCGACGGGGATGGGGAGAGCTCCGCTGCTAGCGACGGAGAAGGGGGAGATTCGGCTAGAGTTGTTGCTCGCGAGAAGAAGGAGGTCCGGCTGACGTTGCTGCTCTTGGTAGGGATGGGGGAGGTTGGGCTGGCGTCGCTGCTCATGGCGGGGAGGGAAGGTCACTGCTCGCAGCAGAGAAGGGAGCCGTCGAAGGGAGAGAATCCTGTTGGAGGCGACAGGCGAGGTCAGGGGCGAGCGGAAAAGGAGATCGAGCGTTTTCGGTTCCCACAAGGTAAACCTTGTTTTCGGCTTTAGGAAACGGCGTATCGGATTACACAACGATCGAAACCGGCCCAGCCGTACCAAACACTGGTAACTTCTTCGCTAAGTAGTGTAATCGGGAGACGGTGGAAAAATGTCGAATCAAACGCGTCGTAAGTTCATCTCCTTCACCACAACCGGATCCTTATGAGTGAGTGTTACCATGTATTCTTGAGAGAAGCTTTTCTTGGATTTTTTTTAAGGATTTATTATCAAATGACACTACTTTATCTATTATTCTTGGATGGTGAGTGCATCCTAGGTGATCAGGACTCACTTGTGATCCTATCAAGTTGTACGTGTGAAGGACGCAAGAGTTAGTATGGGCCCAAAGATTGCCTACTTTATCAAAATCTACCCTTAGTGAGGCTTATAAGTACAAGCCACCACGTAATAGGTTGGTTCTACTTTGTGAGCCGCTTGGTGGGCATCGCAACCGGTATTCTTCCAGTCTACAACCAATTTGTTCAAAGCATCCATCAACGTAGACGTAAGATATCGTCAATTATTCAAACCATCGAAAAAAAACTCTCATGTCACAAGTGTTTGCATTCTCTTAATTATACCTCTTTTTTACTTGCAAGTTTGTTACTTTTCCGCTCCTTATTACTCTTGATTTCTTGCTTGTTACTATCTCTGTCATGGTTTATCGGTCCATTTTGTATTTTGTGCCTAAATTTGACCATAAATTTAACTTGAAGAATGTTAATGCATGTCATAAAAAATTATATCGTTGGATTCATATTTGAACATAGTTTCCAATGATATTCGTTTTTGTGCCATGCATTAACATTTTGATAATTAAATCCATGGTCAAAACTTGGCACAAAGTACTAATGGGACCAATAAACCAGGACGGCGGTAGTAAGTGCTACTGGTTGTCTAGTCCATGTTGCCTTAAGCTAAAAAAATTCAACCTAAAATTGGTAGTTGCGTTATTTTTCAAAGGACTGTTCACCCCCTCTGCTCCTTAGATCTTGATCCCAACAGCTAATCTAAAAGGCAGTACTATGATTCTTTTGATTTAGTACAGTAGTTCTATTTTTAGCATTAAAAATTCAGACCATGTTAGTTATTAGTGTAATAATAATTTTAGTGCTTAAAAAATCAGTAGTACGAATATAAATGTTAGTACTATACGATTAATTTATACACTAAACCTGAGTACTGCAATCATATAAATTAGTACTATAATACTAATTTTGGGGTAAGATCAGTAGTATTATGAACATCAAAGTTAACATTGTAATACTAATTTCATTACTAAAAGTCAGTACCACGACCATGCATGTTACTACAGTAATACTACTTTCACTATTAACTCAAGTCACAAATGTTACAGTTTAGAGAATATTTGCTCTTGTCATTCCGTTTTGTTGCGTTTATAGCATGGCAAATGAGGCATGCATTATAGGACTTGCATGCAGCCACATCCTCCCCAATGCTCGGCTGCATCCAATGGTGCGCGGGCATATCGCAGGTTGAAGCTAAAATAAGCACTTGCCCTTTTTAGATATCTTGTTTAGCAAATAGACCACTATATAGAGAGAAGGATTTACATGGTGAAAATAGTTCATTGTCAGCTATCCAATAAAGGCAGATAGATTGCTCGCCTCCTCTTTTGCCCTCCAAGGCGGGCGGAGGAACGGGAGGACAAAATCTATCTCGTACGAACACACAATTTTGACCTATGTCTTCTTTCATTTCTTTCTTTTTTGCGAGGAAATTTTTACCTATGCCATCATGTCTAGTTTCTCTAGCAGTTCAATTTTCTCTTGTTACCTTTTTGTTCATGCTGCTTCTTTGCCAAACTTATTAGGTCTGTCTTTCTTAGTTTTTATATAAGGATGATTTTATGGATCGACAATGGCGATGAACCATGATTTCCCATTCGCAATTGCAATTGTTGGTCATGTTTTTTCAACGGCAATGTGACCTTCACATGTTTGATTTGCAGGAACCTGCCCCTTGTTTATAATAGCGTAGAATTATTATTACTACTATATTTTCACTTTGACAACAAGATGCCTGTGGCACGAGGCGCCAAGAAGCCGGGTCCTGTCGACTCCGACTCTGACGACGATGGTCTCATCTCCAAAAAGCCGACCAAATCGTCCACCTATTCGGTTCCTACCGGCAACAAGAAGCAGTACAAGGATGGGTTCAAGGACTCCGGCGGGCTGGAGAACCAGTCGGTGGAGGAGCTCGAGAACTACGCGGCGTACAAGGCCGAGGAGACCACGGACACGCTCAACGGCTGCCTCCGTATCGCTGAGAACATCAAGGAGGATGCTGCCAACACGATGATAACCCTGCAAAAGCAGGGGGAGCAGATCAGCAGGACCCACGAGAAAGCCGTCGAGATCGATCAGGACCTCGCCAAGGTGCATATGCTCCACCATTTTACTTTGTTTGTACTATATATAAACTGCATGCGCTATGAACAAATTACTGTTCTCACCTTACACCGAGGCCTGTTTGAAATGTGTGGTGCCTTATTGTTGTGATGTCGATGTTTGAATCTCTAGGGTGAGGGGCTCCTGAATAGCCTTGGAGGGTTCTTCTCCAAGCCATGGAAGCCCAAGAAAACAAAGAAGATCAAGGGGCCAGTGTCGCGAGGTACGTAGATACTCCTTCTGTGAAGAAATATAAGACCATTTAGATCAGTAGTGATGCAAACGCTTTTATATTTCTTTACGGAGGGAGTACAACCTAATATTAGTACACTAACTAATAAAATGCTTGGATCATGAGGCGTGCTCATTATTTCTTGGCAACCATGACACAGATGATTCCTTCAAAAAGAAGACGAGCCGAATGGAACAGAGGGATAAGCTAGGGCTGAGCCCTCGAGGGAAGGGGAATACCCGCGAGTACGGCGATGCCACAAATGCCATGGACAAAGTTCAGGTTCGTGCATGCTCTTGACTCACTGGCCTCCATGGAGAAGTATCTCCGAAATATAAGTATATTTAGAAGTGCTTTCGTTTCGCCAGTTGGAGAAGAAAAAACAGGATGATGCCCTCGACGACCTCAGTGGCGTGCTGGGGCAGCTCCAGGGCATGGCTGTTGACATGGGATCAGAGCTTGATAGGTAAAGTCTTTAGTTTACTGCATATGCGTGGAACCACACTGAAGATTAATCAGAACTTTTGAATCGAGTATCTTATGTGCTATCCAACGTTTCAGGCAAAACAAAGCACTCGATGATATGCACGGCGACGTGGAAGAACTCAACTCCAGGGTGAAGCAAGCGAACCAGCGCGCCCGCAAGATTCTCGCCGATTAGTCGATCGTCAAACATGTCTGCAAGCGTTATTATGAGTAGTTGACAAACATGTCTGCAAATGTTATTATAAGTATCAACCATTATTTGCAGAGAAAACGAAAATGAGAGATTGTTGTTGAACAAGCCTCATTGGAGTAACTTTTGGTTATAAGAGCATCTACAAATGGGCACCTAAAACCAGCCCCAAACGCCCCGGCGGGCTGCCCGTTCACTGGACGGTCAAAAAACGCGACTCATCCGGATGCCTCAAATCGGCCTCAAACGCTCGGGCCGACCGGCACCCCTCCTATCCACGTCGGATCTAACCCACATTGGCCACCCCGACCCCACATATATTCGTCTCCATTCTTTTGCCGAACAAAACCCTAGCCATTTCACTCTACTCGGCTTCGCCACAAGCTCACTTTCGGCGAGCTCCGGTCTTCTCCGGCATGGCGGACAACGGATTTGACTCCGGTCACTTTAGATCTGTCGGCTGGGTTTCGTCCCATGCCGGATGGAAGAGACTATGGCCGTCCGCATTGCCCTTCGCCGCTCCTAGGAGGACTACTCCGACCGGATATGGATCAGTCCGGCACGCATCCATTGCCTCGGCGCAACGGCCGCTCGAATTCGCTGGGGCTAGAGCATCGCAGTCCGTTAGCCTCCCCATCTTCGGTCCGCCCAAATATGCATGCTACAAGGACCAGTGTGCCCACCGTGGGAAGGAGAGGATGAGGGCTCCGGTGAAGAGCAAATCCGACTTGATCCATTTTGTGCTTTCGAGCGCTACTTCCACGAGAAAGACGACAAGGGCGCCGGAAAGGGCAAAGGCAATGCCTGCCGTGGATGATCCATAGCAGTCCCTCCGTCCCATAATGTAAGATGTTTTTTGACACTACACTAAAGCCAAAAAACGTCTTACAATATGGGACGGAGGAAGTAGTATATAGGTAGAACATGCCAAATTTTGGTAGTCTGATGACATGTGCTTATTTAGCCGGATGGATTTGAGTTTACGTTACATTGCATGTGTTTGTATGAATTTGAGGCTCGCTAATTGAGGTGTTCGGTTGTGTGAAGGAAAAATTTAAGGTCTGACTGGTCACTATCCGCGGACGCGTTTCAGCGCATCCCCAGGCGTTCAAGGGCCCAAATTTGATGTCTATGGGCTATGGCTGTAGATGCTCTAAGTATTTCGACCATCACAGTTAGTAATGTAGTAGTAAGTACTGACTAACTTCAATATTAAAACAATTCAAAACAAACTTCAGTGTTGAAAATAGTACTACAAACATACGAGTTGGTACTTATAGTACTTAGAAATCAACGGTACACATACATGAATTGTCCGCATATAAGATTTTTTTGAAGTCAAACTTCATAAAATTTGACCAATTTGACGGAAAAAGTATATTAACATCCACAATACGAAATCAATATCATTAAATGTGTCATGAATTTAATTTTAATATTGTATAATTTTGTATTGTAGATGTTGATATTTTCCATATAATATGGTCAAATGTTACAAAGTTTGACTTCAATTTAGAAAAATCTTATATATGGATTAAAGAGGACCGGAGGGAGCACGAGCTAGTAATGTAGCAAAAATACCCACAACTCTTTTTAGTAGTACTACAGACCCTTGTCAGAGAATATGAAAAAAAGGGCATCCACTTTGAAGTTGTGGAATGTGAGAAAGGCTGGGAACGTCGTGCCTTTGCCAGGGCCGACGACTTCGTGTTTATAGGCAGGGTCGCGACCTCCCTGATAGCGTACAAAGTTGTTGCGATTACAATCTTGGAGAACAAGGGATAGACTAGAGATAGACATTCAAGATAACAAGAATATAAACTATAACAAACTCCTAGTCTATCCTGAACTACAACCTTCGGTAGTCAGCCTTCGGGCGCATACAACTTGTCACGTTGTTTAACACCCTCCCTTAATCACAACTTCGCAAGTTGAGATTACGTTTGAATTCTTCAAGATTCCTTGTAGGTAGTGCCTTGGTGAAGCCATCTGCAACCTGGTCCCTTGAATGCACAAAACGAATTTCCAATTGTTTATTAGCAACACGTTCTCTCACAAAATGAAAATCTATTTCAATGTGTTTTGTCCTTGCATGAAAGACAGGATTAGCAGATAGATAGGTGGCACCAAGATTGTCACACCACAAACATGGAGCTTGAATGTGCTTCACACCAAGCTCTTTCAGCATGGATTGAACCCAAATGATTTCTGCTGTGGCATTTGCCAATGCCTTATACTCAGCCTCTGTACTTGACCTTGATACGGTTGCTTGTTTTCTTGCACACCATGATATGAGGTTAGGTCCAAAGAACACTGCAAACCCACCAGTAGAACGTCTGTCATCTAGGCATCCTGCCCAATCAGAGTCAGAGAAAGCATTGACAAGTGTAGATGAGGACTTGCTGAAGGTGAGACCAAGATTCATAATATGCTTTACATATCTAACAATACGCTTTGCAGCAGTCCAATGAACTGTGGTAGGAGCATGAAGAAACTGACATACTTTGTTAACAGCAAAGGAAATATCAGGTCTTGTCAGAGTGAGATATTGAAGTGCTCCTACTAGACTTCTATACCTGGTGCTATCCTCTTGATTCAAGGGATCTCCTTCAGTAAGAGACAGCTTTTCCGTACTAGACAAAGGAGTTGGTACAGGCTTACATCCTTGCAAACCAACCCTTCTTACCAGATCACTAGCATACTTTTCTTGGGATAGGTGAAGGCCATCCTCAAGTTTCCTTACTTCAATTCCTAAGAAGAAGTGCAAATCACCCAGATCCTTGAGAGCAAACTCAGCACTCAGGTCTTTCAACAGTCCTGCCACTGCCTCATCAGAAGAACTAGTGACAATAATATCATCAACATAGATAAGCACAAATATGCATGTATTTGCCTTTCTATAAATGAACAATGAAGTATCTGATTTTGATGGAACAAAGCCAAGTGCTTGTAACTTTTGACTGAGACGTGAGTACCATGCTTGGGGTGCCTGCTTTAGTCCATAAAGAGCTTTATCAAGCCTACAAACATGAGAGGGTGAGTTTTTGTCGACGAACCCGGGAGGTTGTTTCATGTATACTTCCTCTTCCAGAACACCATGCAGAAACGCGTTCTGTACATCTAGCTGCCTAAGGCTCCAGCCCCTGGAAACAGCAATTGATAACACAAGACGAATAGTAGCAGCCTTTACAACAGGACTAAAGGTATCCTCATAGTCAATACCATATCGCTGTTTGTAACCTTTAGCTACAAGTCTGGCCTTATAGCGGTCTATGGTTCCATCAGATTTGCGTTTAATTCTGTAAACCCACTTGCAATCGATCAAGTTTTTACCTCGTGGTGGGGGAACCAAATGCCACGTTTTGTTTTTCTGGAGTGCTACGTGTTCTTCTTCCATAGCTTTCCTCCATCGTGCATCTCCTAGGGCCTCATCAAGTGTGCATGGTTCTCTTGTGTAACATGCAAGACCAAACTTGGTTTTATAATTTATAGGCTGAATCACTCCCTTTTGTAGACGCGTGCGTGGAAGGCGTGGTGAAGACACGGGCACAGAAGATCCGGGAGAATCTGCACCAGCCGATCCCGAGGTGGATTCTCCTGGTGTTGCAGCCGCGTCAGGCGCAGCCGGATCTTCTGTGGCTATTGCAGATGACGGAGCGGGCGTAGGCGGCGCAGAAGATCCCGCGCCAGTCCCTGTGGCGGCGACAGGATCCGCCCTGGATCGCGCGCCTGGGCCCCTGGGCAAATCAGCGGCAGAATCCGCTCCGGATCGCGCGCCCGACCCCCTGATTGGATCAACGCCGGTTTGCGGGCGGCGCGCGTAGCAGCGAGGCCCACTCGTGGGCCAGCGGCTCTCGGCCTGCCGCGTGGAGTGACTAGATTGGCGCGGGCCCGACGGAGCGTCTGGACCGGTCGGTGGCGCCCGTGTGGCGGAATCGGAGTCGTTGGCGCGACTCCTGGTGGGCGCAGGCGCAGGCGACGCGGTTTCTGCACTGTCGCCGCCCTGCTGCCGCACAAGTCCCGGAGCAGATTCGCTGCCGAACTGCTGCCGCTCCAATCCCGATGGGGATATGCCTCCCAGATTCTGGCACATAAAATGTCGCCTGGTTTCTTCATCATTTTCAGTGATTTTTGCACCGTTTTCTTCATCATCAGCTGCTGTATCTGCATCATCAGACTCATGCACAGGGTTATGAGGATTAGTCAACGTATGATCATCACAATTATTTTCTCCCCCATGATCATTACCGGAAAGATGTGACGGTAGAAGAAGAATTTCTTTTCTAAGGAGTGTGCCGGCATTGGGATGAAGATCAGCAAAGGGGAATTTGGTTTCATCGAAAACAACATCACGTGATATGTATACTCGACCGGTGGAGACATCAAGGCACTTGACTCCTTTATGTTGTGCACTGTATCCAATGAAGACACACTGTTTTGATCGATACATGAGCTTGCGATTGTTGTATGGTCTAAGATTTGGCCAACAGGCACAACCAAAGACACGAAGAGAGTTGTAGTCAGGCTTGGTATGAAGGAGTCTTTCAGTAGGTGTGTCATTGTTAATGACCCGACTAGGCAATATATTTATGAGATGAACTGCCGTGAGGAATGCTTCATCCCAAAACTTGAGTGGCATGGATGCTCTTGCCAAGAGAGCAAGGCCAACTTCTACTATGTGCCTGTGTTTGCGTTCGGCAGACCCATTCTGTTGATGGGCATGCGGACATGACACGTGATGGGCTATGCCAAGTTTTTGGAAAAATGAGTTTAGCTTCTCATATTCACCTCCCCAATCAGATTGGAGGGCGATGATTTTGGTGTCAAACTTGCGTTCAACGAGAGCTTGGAAATTGAGAAAGACTTGAAACACGTCGGATCTCTTCTTAAGAAGATAGATCCAAGAGAATTTGCTAAAATCATCAATGAAACTCACGTAGTATGTATGTCTACCAACAGACGCTGGGGCAGGTCCCCAAACATCA